AAGAACTTGCTTGCCAATGCAGGAGACACAAGAGACACAGGTTCAGTCCCGGGTCAAGAAAATATAATATATATTCAATATATAATATATGTAATACATGTAAATATAATATATATATATATTATATAAATATATACTTATATGGAGCTTCCCTGGTGGCTCAGATGGTAAAGAATCGCCTGCACTGCAAGAGACTCAAGTTCGATCCCTGGGTCGGAAAGATCCCCTGGAGAAGGGAATGGCTACCCACTCCAGTATTCTTGCCTGGAGAATCCCATGGACAAAGGAGCCTGGTGGGCTACAGTCCATGGGGTCGCAAAGAACTGGACATGACTCTATATAATAATATATAAAGTAAAATGTAATATAATATCTAAATGTAAAGAGCCACTGGAGCGGACAGAGACACAGCCACGGTCCCTGAGATCTGAAGTTAGGAGCATCTATGGAGATGGTCGGATCTGAATCAGGCTGACAGGTGGGGAAACTCCAGGAGCCCTAGGAGGGAGGAACATCTGGGCTCCCCACAAGGGCCTCACAAGGGCCCCTGGGGCTGCGGGGAGGCTGGAAGGCCCTCAGACTCAACCAGGCTATAGCGCGATCTTCCGAAGCACAGTAACCCTCGACGACGGCTGGATGGGACCGCAAGAACAAACGCTCTCACCAGCGCCCAGCGCCTCTCCCCACCGCTCTTTCAATAGACTTCTAGCTGGGGTACCTGCGCCCAGTCCCCTCCCCTGACCCCGGAATTCTCAGGATACCAAAGATCAAACCCCATCATTCCCCCTCCCTGCTCAGAAGCTAGCAGGGCTTCTCAGTTGGCACCTCGGGCCCAAGCCCCCCTTTCCACTGTCTGATCACACCGCTGTCCCCCAACTCCACAGCCAGCCAGCCCCCAAACACGCCTGGGACTCCTCCGTCCCATGACCGCTTACGCTCCTGCCCGGGTGGGAGAGCTGTCCTGAGCTGACGGAAGCCCTGCGCCAGGCTCAGAGCAGGCCTCTTCTCCCGGAAGCCCTCCCCCAGCCCACCAGGAAGAAGCAACTGCCCCACACTCCCTGAGCTGAGGCCCCGCACATGCCCATCTCCAGAGTCAGCATCTCTACAAAGATGCCAGGCTGCATCAGTCTCCAGAGCCTCCAGAAGGACACAGCGCCTGGCACTAGCGGGCACTCAGTGAACATGTCAGGCGTCCAGCTGAGTGTTAAATCAAAGTACACAGCACAATTTTAAAACACTGCTAGTGTCCTGCTCATACCTCCCTTTGGAGGGCCCCGGAAATCAAAAGTCTGAATTTTTATTCCCTCCATGTCCAAAGTAGGTCACTTCTAAGCAGTGGGTTTGAATATCCCAAATCAAAACTACTTTTCTTTTGAGTTCCTTAATTCCTCGCTTCTTATTGAATCCATAGTCATCTCCTCCTCATTGAACCCCGACCTGAAAAGTGTGTGATTAGAACCACATACTTTGGCAATTACAAGCAGAAGTAATCTGGAATTGCTGGCAACTTCAAGACGCATGTTTCAAGTTACAAAGCAAGACAAGATTGTTTTAAATGCTGCAGTGAAAGTGTAGGCTTGCCTCACCCGGGCTGGGGCCCAGCCAAAAAAAGGGGACTGGGCAGACCTCTTGTCCATGGGTTAACGCATATGTGTGCACGTGCGTGCACACACGCACACACACAGACCCCCCACCAGGAGAAGGGTACTCTGAGATGGAGCAAAGGCAATCTTCCCCTTTCGTCACTGGGAGGATCCAACAGAACAATTTTATTACCACGATCTCGGGATGGGCTCTCAGAGACTACATGGAAAACAACCAAATTTTGTGAATAATTATTAACCATAAGTAGAATAAAATGTAAACTGGCATTTGCCTACCAGTTATTTAAGAGGACTACTTGTGACTGATGAATTTAATTCAAGTTCAACAAGAGGAAATATGATGCCCTCCGGAAGGCTCATCTCTGTCTGGTTTTGTGGCTGTCTCATACCCACGAAATAATCAGGGAAAATCACAAAACCACATAAAAGCACCTGATAATATAGATAGTCAGTCTGAAGGATCCATTGAAAGTTATCCTGCAAGAAATGCATTATTAATAATAAAGTCCCATAGATAATGATCAACTCCTGCTTTTGCATATAAATTAGACGGAGTGCCTATGAGAATGGCATTCACTCTTTCCAGATTTACAGCTAGGTTCCCTCTGAGTACACTTCCGTGGCTGAGGTTTTGTTTCTTGTATCTTTGAGCACATGAACCTGTCCACACATATACTGTGCCTCAGAGTAAAAGGTTGTGAGCCAGTCATCAGGGGCTTCTGGACTTTAGAGTTTCAAAGCTCAATAAAAGATCTTCCACCAAAAAATTAGGAAGCCTTGCAGCCGACACGGAGGTTCCCTGAGAGAAGTTTTACAGGAGGGGAACCGTCACAAGCAATTCAATATTTTACCATTGTTACTGAAGGAAAACCGGAATTTTAAGAAAGATTCTGAATCCCCAAGCAGTTCAAAAAAGCTAACCACCTGTATCCCAGAAGACTTCATGCTCCTTGGTCTACTGAGGGTTTCAGGAGGTGCTCTGCATGCTGACCATCAGGCTACTGAGGTAAGGGCTAAGCCAATGCAGCTACTCTCCCTGCCAGCTGACAGTCAGCTTGAGACAGTTCAAGCAACCAAGGCAACAGGCCACAGTCAATGAACTACAGCAGTCTGGAACTCTTAAAAAATGCCCAAAATAGTTCTCTTTGCTTCATATGACAAATCACCAATTCCCATAAGCTCACCAATTCTGCTAAAATGAAAGATAATATGAACAACTGAAATATTTACAAATCAAATGCTATTACTATAATAGCTGGGATTTTGAACAGTGGAAGAGACTTAAAGATGGAATGAGATTGGCCATGTACTGGTAAGTTTTGAAGCTAGATAGTGGGTTCATGGGAGTTCCATACAGCATTTTTGATTATACAGTAAAACATCACCCTTATCAAGGTTTTTCTTCTGCAGTTTGTTACCTGCAGTCCACGAAGATCCAAAAATATTAAATGGAAAATTCCAGAAACAAACAATCCATAGGTTTTACATTGGGCACCATTCATTCTGAGTAGCTTCATGAACTCACTCCCCTATCCCACCCTATCCTGGGATGTGAATCATCCCTTTGCCCAGCAAATCCACGATGTATAGGCTACCTGCCTGCCCATTAGCCACTTAGCACTTGCCCTGCCAGCATCACTTCAACAGTGGTGGTATTGCAGTGTTTGTGTCCATGTAACAATTACTTTATTTAACAGTGGCCCCAAAGCACAAGAGAATGATGCTAGCAATTCAGATATTCTCTTAGTGTACCAAATTTTAAAATTAAATTTTATCATAGGTAGGAAGGTATAGGAAAAAAACATAGTATTAACATATAGGTTCACCTGGGGTTGCAAGCATTTACTCAAGGTCTTGTAATATCCTGGCAAAGAAGCAGTGAGGGAGAGAACCACTGTACTGGCATATTGTTTGAAATTTTCCAAAATAGAAATTAAAAAATAAGTATGAAGTCAAGATTAAAAACTACTGAAATGCAATCTCTGCAGTGCCTAAAAATGACTACATATATTCTTACCTCCTAGTGTGTTGCAGTTCTACAGTAGGAGAGCAGATGAAATCTCAGACACATTAATCTTGGCTCTTTACTAAGGCAGCTTAATTACAGGGACTCCACTGAGGTTTTTGCTAATGTCAAAAAAGAAAGTGAAGCCACCTTTCGGAATTTCATCACAGGTTGTAAAACACACAAGAAGCAAGCTTTACTAGTTTTTTGTCTACTCGATTTAAAGAAAGTTTTGTAAAGATTTCTGCTATTCGAAAATTGACCAAACAAAACAAAAAAATGCTATAAATTTGCCATACGCGTATAGGAAGGCACGTTAGCAGGTAAAAGGTCTGCCTTCAGCAGAAGGTAGCGTAGCAACCCTGGTTAACGAAAAAGGCGGCTTTACCGTCTTTTAGCGTTTGAACTTTTGACCTCCTCCCAAAATGTCACAAAAGAATTTCTAAACCTTGGGACTAGAAAGAATGCTTTCTTTCCCGTAATCGTTTCACAAAACATACCCGTTTTGAGCCACCGAGCCTAAAGTACAAAAATAAACAGTACGGTCTAAAAGAGATGCAGACTGGATTAAGAAAAAGTAATGCAATTTAAGAAACAACAGCCGATCAAGACGCGCTGGAAATGCAGCAGAGAACAGCACCTTGCGGGCTCCCTTCCTGGACACCACTTTCTCTTTTGTTGACGATCAGACTTTTTTCTCCAGTCCTCCTCGTGTCTCTTCCTACCTTCAAACTCACAAAATGACTTGAAAGATGTACGGGCGGCAACGAAATCTACACAGCTCAGTCGTGCACAGAAACGCCGGCGCTTAAAAGTCAACCCACCCCGGGAGGGACGCGCCTCCCCAGGCAGAGGCGGCCGGGGGTGGCGCGGAGGGGACAGGATGCGCCCGGGGGCGCCCGCGCACCTGGACCGCCCGCCGCCGTCTTCCACGGCCGAGCCCGCTGCCGCCCTAAGCTACCTGGGCGCCGTCTCTCTCCACTTCTCCCTCTTCTGCACGCGCGCCCGCAGCCAGAGCCGAGCGCAGAAGCGGAGACCCGGCAGACCCGGAGCGGCCGAGGACCCGCCGAGCCTCCCGCGCCGCCGCCCACCTGGTCGGCCCCAGGCACCGCCCCGCAGGTGCCGCCAGGGAGGCTCCCGCCGGCCGGCCAGGAGCGCCGCGCGCGCAGAGGTACTGCTCCCGGGGTTTCGGTGCCAGGAAGCTCCCCAGTCCCGCGCGCGCCCGGGCCGCCGGCCCCTCCCCCGGCGCGGCGCGGGGGTGGAGAGAGGAGCGGGCGCCCGGGGGAGCCGGGCCTGCGCGCCGGCTCGGGCAGGGCGGGGAGAGGTCCTCCGCGCGACGGCACCGGACGCGACCGGCGGGACGGGACGGGGCGCCCGGCGGCCGGACTCACCGAGGCAGCGGATGTGGAAGCCCGAGGGCGGCCGCAGCGCCCGGCGCGACCAGCCTTCGCGCAGCGCCTCCAGATGCTCCTCCTTGCCCTGGATCAGCAGAACCTGCTCGTCGATCCAGCCCAGGAAGAAGGTCTCGGCCACCGCGGCCGTGACCTTCTTGTTCCAGAAGTGCTGCATGTTCTCGGCTTTGAAGTCGGCGAAGATCTCGTAGCCGATGTGGTGCCGGGCGAGCTGCCGGGGCCCGGCCGGGGACGCGGGCCGGGCGGCCTCGGACCTCTGCCCCGCCGGCCCCTCGGCCGGGCCCAGGACGATGGCCAGAGAGTGAGGCGCGATCTGCAGAAACTTCTCCATCTTCGGAGGCATCCGGCGGCCGCCGCGTGACCCCACTCACAGCCGCAGCCGCCGCCTCCCGCCGCTCCCGGGAACGGCCGCGCGAACTGCGCTGCGGGACAAGCGGGGAGCGTTAGTGCCGCCCCCCGGGAGCCGGCCGCGCCCCCGCCACCCTGCGCCCCGACGCCAGGACGCCCGGGGACCCGCTTGGGCGCAAAGCCCGCGGGTGGGCGCAGCGTGGTCGCCACGCGGGGACGGGGCGCGGGTGCGGAGCCCGCTCGGGCCGGGCCGGGGGCTGGCGCGCGTTACCTGCAGCTCCGGGCCACCCTCCGGGCACCGCTCATTTTCCTGCCGTGGCACCCTGGCCTCCCTCGGCGCCCGGCGGCCCCGGCGAGGGGCGGAGACGCGGAAGGGGGGCGGGCAGTTCGCGCTGAGGCTGGGGAACCCGCCGGGCCGGACCCGGCCGGAGGAATCCCCAAGAGTCCGCTGCGCAAGGTGGTCCAATGGGGTGCGGATGGCCGGGTCGCGGGGTGCGTTTAGGTGGCGGGTCCAGGGACGCACGGCGACACACGGAAGGCCCCGAGTCCCCGAGCTGCGCGGGTCGCTCCTCCCCCGCTCCACCCCGCCCCCACCCCCACCTCCTGCTGGAACAAGTGCCTCCGCTGACTGGTTGCTGTGCCCTTGGAAGTGGCTTTTTAAAAAACTTAGCCAACCGCGAAAAATTGTCATCAGTCCCTCCTCCCAAACCCTTGTGGAACTCTCCCGTATCTCCATCCCGTACTGTGGGCCTCAGGTAGAAGAAAACCGGTCATTCCCAGTGTCTCCTTCCAGTGACGAAGAGGATATGAAATTCACCAGGAAAGGTGATGATTACACATTTTTAGAGAACTAAAACAAAGAAAAAACCCATTTTATTAAGCTTCTTTCTCTACAGACTCCGTTTTTCTTTTTCATTGAGAAAGACTAGTTGTATACCTAGAACCCTAATTGACCCCAAGATTTCATGTTACATTTTCCTGGAGCAACGTTTCTCAAACTTGAATGCTCACAGAGTCGCCTGCAGCTTTTGTCAAAACAGAGGTACCTAGATGTGGGTCTCACTACTTCTGATTCAGTAGGTCTGCCGTGGAACCTAATGATTGTTCTTTCTAACAAATTCTCAGCTGACTGCTGCTGGTGGTGGTCCTGGGCCGCACTTTGAAAACGCCTGACCTGGAAAAAAAAAGAAAAAGTTATGTGATGGGAGGGATCATTGAAGGGTGTCTTGCCAAGGTTGCAGTGGCCACACTGCAGATGTCCCTGGAAAAGTTACCTTCTGCTTACATCCTCTTTAGCAAGGCACTTGGGTACATCATCATGAAGGAAGATGCAAATGTTTCTTGGCAAGGAACATTTCTGTTCCTTCCCTAGGTTCAGGCTCCAAGACCTTTATCTTGACCCATGTAGTGGAGACAGTTCCTGGTTATTTTCCAAGGAAAACTGTTTAACATCTATCAATGCCTCATTCTTACAAAACTCGAGGAGGAGGAACAATTATTATTCCGATTTTTCCAAGGAGAAAAATGATGTTAACTGATTTGGCCAAGGTCACACAATGAATAGTTGATAAACCCAAGATTTGAATCAAACTTAGGACTCCAGAACCCAGGTTTCCTCATGCAGCCTCCAAAGGAACTAAAAATATGCAAGATAAACTAGTATGACTTCATTCAGGAGACACTTGCACCAGTTTACTTGAAAATGTTCAGGAAGAACTTTTTTGATAATTTATCAGATAAGAAATCCTCAAACTCCCTGGGGAGATCCCTTGCCTCAGTTTTCTCCATACTGAAGCTCAAGATCAAGTGGGATGTTGTAAAGAATGAAAGAGCACTGTGAATGAAATTTTTTATCAGCCCTTCTCCCCACTGCCTGCTGTCAACTGCCTGCCATTCCTGCAAGGAGAGAGGGCTTTGCTAAACTTGCTTTGCTCCAGGCTTATCAGTTGCTGGTTGTCCACTAGGATATAACAGACCCTAAGACAGTCATCACTCAGGGAGGTGCATTCCAGCCTAAGGGCCATCACTTTGGAATTTCTGTTCATGGCAGACTGTGTTTTCCAAAGAGAGCTGCCACGATGCTTCCCAGGCGTGTATGTTTCGTAATGTGACCCCATAACTCCCCTGTCAGGACATAGTCTTTCTCTTCACCCCTTGAACTCTGGTTAGGACCTCTGTCTGATTGCTTTGACCAATAGAGCAGAGATCAACTGGAGGAGGGCACGCAACACATTCCAGGACTCTTGCCTGGATAATCCCGTGGACAGAGGAGCCTGGCAGGCTATGGTCCATAGAGGCAAAAAGAGTTGGATACAAATGAAGTGACTTCTCACGCATGAACTGATGCTGTACCGGTTCTGGGAGCAGACTGACTAGCCTCTTAGTTCTTACTTAGGCTTCTTGGAAGCAGCCACCTTGTAACAAGTGTAGGTAACCCCAAGATCATCATGTTGTGAGGAAGCTCAAGCTAGTCATTGTGAGGCGAGCAGAAGTAACACCATGGCAGGCAGCTTAGATTAGGAGTAGGCCTTCCTACTTCTGGGTGGTAAGATTATCAGGCCACCTGGATACAATCAATTAGCTTTCACTTAACACTGACCACTGTTTGCCAATTAGGAAATTAGGAACGGGGTGGAAACCCCCGGGAAAGTTCCACGCGTGTGAAAGTTTTGACCAATGAAATTGCTTTGCAAACGTGTAACCAATCCGCTTAAACCAACTACCAACAGCGTGTGCTCACCCTATAAATTTGTGTAACAGCTTGGGCTCGGGGCTCTCTGACTCTGCACCACTGCGTTGGATGCGGCAGGAGCCCTGACTCAAGTCAGCAATAAACTTCCCTTTTCGCAAGTTGCATTGTCTTGGAGGCCTTCTCTCTTCCCGCTCGGGGATTCGGACATCGGGCATAACAGTCATGAGGAGGAGGTATGGAAAGAGAGCACAGTGTTGGCCAATTCCCAGCCATTCTCACCTTCCAGGTTAGACACCAACACAGGAGTGAAAAAGATATTCTAGCCCCAGCAGACACCAAATATAGTAGAACCATGGCCCCGGAGTAACCCCCAATCGAGCTGTCCCAGGCATCTCTGTGTATTCGAGTCAGTCCAGCTGAAGCTTTGTATAGCCAGGATGACCCTTCCCCAGCTGCGCTGGTCTCAATTCCTGGTCCACCCAACTATGAGCATAATAAAGTGGCAGCTGTTTTTCATCACTGAGTTTTGAGGTACATGATTACAAAGCAATAGATAATTGGACCACTCGTATAATGTTTGCACTACTTAATGTTGCACTGTGGTAATGTTTGCATGCTTCTTGGGAAAGTCTAACAAAGAAGAATCTAGGCAGGAAAGAAGATTTCAGGGACATCCTGATTGTGGCACCTCTGGAAAGTCAACTTTTATAAAGCAAAATGGAAATGCTGCTACCTTATTTTTATCTCACAAGTGTGATAGGTGATTTAGACTCCTAACTCCATAATTCAAGGCACCAATTGATTAATGTGTCAGAAAGAATGGCATCTGCACAAACCACTCAATAAAACCTCACTGCAGTAGGAGCCCAAGAGTTCCCACAGAGGTCTTATAACTGTGGGGTTACCGCTTATTCTAATTAAAAGCCTCCTAAAGGATTCTTTCAAGGGTAAGCCACCAACACACTTATTGGTAGCACATACATGCCTGCATGCTCAGTTGCTCAGTCATGTCTGACTCTTTGCGACCCCATGGACTATAGCCTGCCAGGCTCCTCTGTCTGGGGATTTTCAGGCAAGAATACTGGAGCGGATTGCCATGCCATCCTCCAGGGGATCTTCCCAACCCAGGGATGGAAACCTACATTTCCATGTCTCCTGTATTGGCAGGCAGGTTCTTTACCACTAGTGCCACGTGAGAAGCCCACGACTTATGCAGTATTAGTGATTCTGTTTGATGCTTATGTCTGCATGCTCAGCTACTAGCCAGGAAGATGCTCTCAGTGGATTATCTGTTACTGTTTATCCCAGGTTAATAATTAGAATAGCTAACATTAATATGGTGCTTCCTATGTGTCATATACCACTGTAGGCACTTTATGTATACTCATCCACTTAATCTGTGCGGAAACCCTATGCGCTGGATACTTCTGTCATCTTAACTTTATAGATGAGAAACTGATCCACAGAGAACTTAGCTATGATTAACTTAATATGCTCAAGGTCTTGGTGACTTGGTGTAAAGTCCTCAAGCCAGGATTCACATCCAGGTAGTCTGGTTCCAGAGTCTGTGCTCTTAACAACTGCATAAAGGCTCCCTCCACACTTCTTCAAAGAACTAATGATCATCTTGTTATCACAGCCACACATGTGTGAATCCCTTGAGGATACTGGCTCGATTTAGTGGATGAGAATGAGTTTGTACGTCAGATGCTTCACTTCTCCTGACAGCCTCAAAGATACTTCACTTAGTCAAGACCTATATTGATCTTCCCTACAGGGGACAGTTTTTGATGGCTTGAGACACTTTCTCAAAATAGCTCAAAGTGCTCTTAAATGCTATGCTGATTCCTTGCTCATTCCCCACCCCCAAAAAATGAATCTCTTCTAAGACAAAGTTTAATATTGCTGCCATAATTGAGAGCCTCAAGTAAACCTAAAAATGAACTCTGGCTGGTTCTTGGATCTTCTGAATAATGCCTCTGTTGACAGTAACCCAGCCATGACTCCTCTGTATTCTGGCATTCATATTGTACCAGCCCCGGCATCTCCATTACAAGGCAGAAGACCATCCCAATCTGAAACCAATTTTCAAAGAGCAGTGTGCAAAATGTACTTTTCTTTGTCTTATGTTTCTGTGCGTGGTTGGTTCTTGTTCATTTCCTAAAGCTGTACATGGCAGCAGTTAAGAATAGAAGCCAGTCTAGTTTTCCTATTAAAATACTTTACACTCTTCCTGACTATAATTGTAAACCCAACTCCACATACCCCAAATCTTATGCCAGAAGTCCATT